GTGCAGTTGTTCCATTTGTTTGTGGTCTTGCTGTCGTTTGATTAGGTCGCATTGAAGTTTGCGAGCTATTACCAGATGGACGTGCAGTTGTTCCATTTGTTTGTGGTCTTGCTGTCGTTTGATTAGGTCGCATTGAAGTTAGCGTACCGTTTCCAGGTGGACGTGCCGTTGTATTGTTTTCCCCTATGGTACCTATTTTAAAGGGGCTTCATGATATTTCCTTCGGATTCCCTCTGACTGACGTTGAGAAAGCATTGCGATGCATCGTAGTGAATTCTGAGCTGATATATTTTTGACTCGTTTTCTGCTTAGCGGAAGGTTAATTCGCTGTGTGTGTGAGAGAACTGGAATATTTATTTTCTAATGGGCTGTTAATTTATGGTTGATTATGATTTTGTAAGGTGAACTGATAGTATATGGAGAATACGTCTTTGGTGATAGTGATGGTTACGTGTATCAATATGAGAGTAGGTGAATGATGAACTTTTTGCTGAAAACGGGTTTTTCATGAGATGCTGAGTTGGTACTTTTAGTAAATTGAAATGAGTTACCTGTGATAAAGTTTTCATGAATGATTGACTTTAATGCTTTGTGAAAGAATCGCTGAATATTGATTTCAATATGAAAAAGATGTAAGAATGAAGTGTATAGGTGTTGATAAGCGTTGAGGTGAGTGAAGAAATTCATCTTCCTACTGCTGACTATGCACCAATGCATCATCGGATAATTAAATTATTACGATTGAAAACTAGTCCAAATAAGTAGTTATTTTTATTTCTCTTTGAGTTCTGAATTATATTTGAAACTAAATATTACTGAGCTTACAGTTACGCAAGTGAAAGCAATAGATCAAAGTGATTTAAGGGTGTGAATATGGGTGGAAATGTGGTTCTGATTGAAATTTTCATATCGGTAAGGGTATCCACAGATCACACGCCTACATCTACACTATATATACATTTCGCTAGGTACTTGATTTCGTGATTCAATGCAATTCCAGAAATATTCACTTTCTATTTTGTATGCTTTTTTTTAAGTAAATTTTCTACTGTCATCCATTACTAAACTATGAGTTATGTTCCTTCAATGAAGTGTATAAAAATGAATGTCAGTTACATAGCATTAACATTTCATTCTGATTTGTGTACTACTGTTCTTTAGTTAATATCATTGATTGGATAACAATGTGAAAAAATTTGAATTTCCTTGAACTTCGAATTCATCATATCCGTTAATCTATATTATTTATCATTAAGGTAATGAAGAGTTTCAGGAATGCGTATTCTAGTGCTCATTTCGGAATTTCATGAAGATGAATGAATAAGGATGGCTTCTGTTACCTGTGATATGGCCGAGGAGAAATCTAGAAACAAACTTGCACTTTATGATTCTATTATTATAACAGCGCTACTTACATGATAACCGTTAGGGTAATTGGGAGCCGTTGCATTGTATCGAATTGAGAAGTGTGGCATTAATGGAGCAACGCTTGGTTATATAGATGACGGAATGGCTCTGTATTTTCGTCAATTATGTTGGCCAGAGGCTATATAGGCCAACAATCTATTGAATTTGTTTTTTACGCATCCACGGGCCTCGGTATGAATGTTTGAGTGTTTGCGGCATATGATGTTTATCTTCTGCACGGATGCTTTTTTATCCTTTTCTCAACGACGTAAAAGATTGAAAAATATAAATGAAAGCAGTGGATTTGCATAAAATTTCGAAGTGCTTTCAAGAGGTTGCTTAACGCAGAGAAGCAGAAAAAATATTGACAGTGATTGAATAACGTTGTTGTTTTCATAAGAGAAGTGTTTAGAGTGGGACCGTTTAGCATTCATATTATTGAATTAATTCAAGAGCTGTTTTTTAGCTTTAAATCAGAATTCAATCACTGGAGGTGATTTGCCTGTAAGAGAAAAACAAACTCCTTCAGTAGAAAATGAGGTCTTATTATTATTCGATGATTAATATGCAGTTACGATCGTTTTGCAAATATTTCATTAAATCTTACATGTTGATAGTGCACTGTCAGAACCTTTTTCTCTGAACATGTGTCATCTTTCGTCACGTTGAATTGCACATTTTGCCTTCAAATCATAGGACACATTACTCAAACTCAGATTTCGAGAATTTTAGTACTGTATTCATGGTCAATGTTAATCCCATAAAATATATGAAAATGGTCAGTGTTGAAGCATTAGCTTGAGTATGGGTGTGAATTCTTGATGAAAACAATACACTCCTCGGTACCATTTCCGCATTGTATACACAACAAGAGCCAAGTCCATGCCCATCGACACTTTTGTTCAATATATTTATTAACTATATAATGAAACAAGTAGTTAAACAAGCTGGTATACAAGATGTTACTTTAACCTATCATCTCAGTGAGTTATGGCTATCTAGTCGTAAAAAAGTAGCAATAGCAGTCATCTGTTGACTTTAATGTAGACAGAGGATATTGTTGTCATATGTGAGAGCTCATAAAATTTAGAACATTTCGTGAAAGTATTTGAAAAAAATAATATAAAATTTTGGCCTTAACATGAATGTTAAATAAGCATGAGCTTTGCCATTATGACTACTCAAAAAAAGATTGAAAACATCAAACAACAAAAGAAAGTAATGATACTCCGTTGAACATCGTCATTTGAGATTAGAAAATTGATAAAGTAGATAGTTTGAAATAATCTTGGATGCTCTATAGCAAGTGATCAAACATACTCGAAGGAGATGGAAACTCGTTGAGGAAAAGCATATTACACTTTTAATATACTTCGACGTATTGCATGGCATTGCAGATACATATCAATTCAGGTAAAGGTCAAAATTTTAGAAGTATGCAATCTTCTTCTGTGTTGTACTGTAGTAAATTAATGTGTCTAAGAGCTGTTGCATAATAATGTTCGAATACATTTTGTATGAAACGTTTAAGAACGCTGCCAGAAGAGGTGTCCCTTGGTGATTGAATGAGAAATGATTTGGTTCTCCAGTTGATCGGTTACCCGTCTTTAAAAAGCATCTTGAGAAGAAACAAGTTAAGATAATTTGGTCACATTAATAGAATGAATAACGGACCAGATTATCCAGGACTACCAAAAACGTCCTCTTCTCTTAATTTGTTAGTGGTAAGAAACCTCTAAATGCTATCAGATTGAGATGGCGAAACAAATCGTCAAGGGTCTCCAAATATCTAATACGAAAAATGCGAGACTTGATGTTCCAAATAAGAAGAAGTCACGTGAAACAATTCATCGAGACGTTAAGTCTGCTTTAATCCGGTCTGAAGCGACACATGGCGTAAATATTAAAACATAAAGAAAGAGCAATAAAACGTCGGATGTATGAAAGATTTTCTTATCTTAACAAAAACAGAAATATGTCTTTTCTTTCAAATACAGATGATGTTGTCAACTATCCACAAGGTGGACAGATTTATGAAAAAATAGAACGGAATTGAGTGTACAGAAACGGACATGCATTAACAAACAATTTGCAGCTTTCATTTGACAATTCTGTAACAAAAATTATTCTCCATTGCACTCCAATAAAATCAACACAAGAAAACAATAATGTATGGCAAGTGAAAATAGAACAGCTATTGATAAAAAACAACAGAAATAAATAAATATGTCAAAATAAAAGTTGCGATAAACTATAAAAAGCGCAAGGATCCACAATGCATGTGAAAATATGCGCTAAACAGTGGTTGAAAGAATAAGGTCTTCGAGTTTAGTAACTAACATCTGAGCATAGATTACTGTGGTTTATAATAACTGCCACTGAAACTAAATCTGCTCATGGTTAGAACGTGGTAAACTAATGAATGATGCAGAAAGCCTTTTTTAGAGCGATGCCTCTCTTGGCCGATATGAATCGAAAGTGATGCACTGTTTTCTTTGTTTGTTTTTTGTTTTCTACTATTGTGTTCAGTGTCCTTCTGCCATTCATGATGATGCTTTATTTCTTTAGGTATTCTCTTCTATCATTATATGCTCGTCTTTTTAAACTTTATTTATTCTTTGTTTTTCTTTTATGAAACACGGTCTAGCAGGAGTGTTGAAGCGTATAGTGAGAGAAGGAGACCATTCCCTCATTTCCACAGTTCGTGACAGTTAGTCACTGGCCCCGATACAAACTGTGTAAGACGTTGTTGACATACGATCAGAGACTGTACATCAATCATGTCTTATTATAATATGCGAACTGCTCTCTGATTACATTTCTGGAGAAATAGGTAACAGGATGCTTTAGAAACGTGTCGCAACATAGAAAGGATAAAATAATCTCCCTGTGATTACCAAGAACAACTACATCAAGCTTCGTATTTTTTTTCGTAATGCACTTTGTTTTGACATGTGTAATTGCCCTTCACCTAAACTGGTTCTATCGGCATTGACAATATGTTTGTGTCTCTTCTCCTCTTCCTCCCATACCCACAAATCCAAGCCCACACTTCATAAGATAGTGCCGCTGAGCCGATCATTCAGCTCACATCAATTTCATTTTCATCAAATAACACGATCCGTTAAAGTTGATTCGTGGTGATAGATAATTCATGTTATTGTGAAATATGTTGATTAGCACCGATAAAACTTTTCTTCCATGTATAAGATTGGGATTAAATTCATTCATCCAATGGGCTTCATATCATACGCTCGCAAGACAAGTAACCAACAAGCTAGATGAAGAATCGATTTGAACTCTTGCTGCTTTAAAGAATGTCATTTGCATGTTCTTAGTAGCATCCTGGTTCCTGAGGCCAGAATTACAACTTGCAATGTCTGCAATTTTCAACGGTGGATCAAATGTTGTTGATTATTATTCAAAACATCATTTATTGAACTGTATTTATACAACGAGATAGACTTCGAAGCGCTGCAGGGTTCCTACAATCTAATATTTTATTCAATTCTGGCTCGTGATAATCTGGCTCAAGAAATAGAATTGAATAAGAAAAGAATTTGAATTACAACATTGAACATTTTCAGATCTTTCTCGTTATACTCAATGCGATATTTATACTTACAATAAAACACGCTAGATCATTCATCGTCACCAACAAGAAAAATTCACGAAGAGTCATATCGCTGAACACTCAAACTAAGCTCTAGCATAACTATCCGCTTT